CTTGTTACCTTACTAAGTCTTCTGAGCTCTTACATCTCAGCTCTTACACCTCCCCCTTACACAAAACGTCCGTCCCCGGACGTTGAGGTGTCCGGGTGAGTGAAGTGTTGAGGCCGGGGTCGAGACAAAAGGCTTACCTGGTTGTGGTAAAAAGGTCGTAAATCGGAAGCAAAATAGTGGAGTGATGAGACTGCGTGTGAGAAGTGGCCGGATGTAGTGACGAAAACGTCGTGGTGAACGGCCTGTAAAAGTAGCGTTAGAGGCTACGCTGTTCTTAATGTCTGAGAGGCGTGAAGAGAACTGAGTTTACGTACCGGTGCTATGAAATCGACTACCTAGAGGAACAAATCAGGGAGTGATGAACGGCCGACTATGAGGTTCCGCGCGGCGGCCCAGCGAAGTAGACGCGTCCGGTTTGAAAGAGACCTGAGTGCTGCTACGTGTCCTAGAATAACCTTGTGTGCGCGACGTTCGTGCATTTGATGTTGTCAAGGAATTCACCGGAAGCCTGGTCCAGACGGGTGCGAGTCGTGAGTAGGATCACGAAGTCCATCTCGTGACCTTGCACGGAGTCTACGGTATAAAGTCGAATTCCCATGCATTCCGCCGGCTCCTCCAAAAGTCGCTGTTGGTGTTTATAGAAAGTTATGATCCCGATGGAGGTGGGTGCAATGTCCCTATTGAGTAGTGATTCAGCCAGTTCGACGCAGCAATCCGCTTCTTCCTGGATTGAATGTGACTGCGTATAAGAGAGCCGGGACGATCCTTCTACGTTGATGACTACGAGAGAAAGTGAAGGGTTTGGCAAGGAGAGACGGTTGATGAGAAGCGTTCGCTGCGAAGCCGGGGTTCCACTTTTGAGCCGTTCTCCGTACACCAGCATGTTCGGTAGTTCGTTTAGCGCTGGGTGCGCTCGAAATGCGGTGACCAATGGGGCCAACGGTACGTCCTTTTAAAGTAGAATTTCCATGAGCCCCTTCCGAGTCGAGCAGCCAAGGTCGATCTGGGGCAGCGAATATGCGGTTCCAATTGATAAACGTCCCCGATATAGATCTGCCGTGCTTGCGGGAAGTGGGCGGTCAATGCTACGAAGGCTGGCTCAGGGATTTGCGATGCTTCATCGCCTATGATAATGCGGCAGTCAGGAAGCGTGTTGTGAAAGAGTCCTCCCGGTTTTTCGTACTGAGCAGCGAAGATATGGTGATACATAGGATCGAGACATCATGGTGACGGCGCGTTTGGTGGCGAGAGAGTTGTGGTTCCCAGCATTTCGGTACTTCTCTCTTTCCTGATCGGTCATATGGAGAGTCGCTTCCGGCTGAAAAAGTACACGTTCTATCAGACGACGTCTGCGGATTTACTGGTGGAGTCGTTCCTGTTCATGGGGGCTCAGTGAGTCGGAATAATTGACCAAAAGGCCGGTAAGTATGCGATGAAGGTCGACTGCAGTCGTTGGGGCGCCTTCCTGTAGAGCCGAGTCCGCCACAAAGCGGAGGGCGGTGACGTTGTGTTGGTTCCCTTCTATTGCTAGAAGGGTGTCTACGAATTGGGCGACGGCGACGTTGGTGGTGGCCGTCGCAACTACCAATTGAACGGGTTGGGCAAGTTGGGCGGCGATGTAGGCCCCTACCACGGGTTTTCCCGTGCCATAGGCTGCTTGGATTGCCAGAAGTGGAAGTGGGCTGGTGCCCATCCGTACTGCCTGGGCGTGGTCCTCACGTAATCGTAGAGTGCGTTCACGTAGCTGAACGTTGATCGAGGATCCTGCTGGTGGGGCTCTATGTCTTTCATCTTGGGCTGAACGTGGAGGACTAGCGTACACGGCATCCATGATAGAGTGG